CAGTGGTTCTCAACCTGTGGGTCGCGACCCCTTTGGCGGTCAAACGACCCTTTCACAGGGGTCGCTTAAGACCATCCTGCATATCAGATATTTACATTACGATTCATAACAGTAGCAACATTACAGTGATGAAGTAGCAACGAAAATAATTTTATGGTTGGGTCACAACATGAGGAACTGTATTTAAAGGGCCAGAAGGTTGAGAACCACTGGACTAAAGGAAATGGAAAGAGCTCATGTTCTAAGGCTCACACATAGGGGAAGCTCACTGGGAACTGCCCAGTGTTACATGGGTACAAGGCGGCCAGGCCGGCTGCCAGCGGAGGCGGGCACCCTGTGCCCCCAGCCCCGGAGGAGGAGCTGCGGACTCCTGGGGACGGGCGTGCACAGGCCCCTCAGCCCCAGCTTGCAGCTCCAGGCTTCCAGGTGAAAATCACACGCGTGACGATGCTTGTACCACTAGAATGACTGCCTTTTAAATCGAGGTAACGTTGGTTAACTTCATGTGAGTCTCAGGTGTCCGCATGTAATTCTACATGTGTGCACGTTAGCGTGTTCACCAACAGTCTAGTTTCCATCCATCGTCATACACTTGATCCTCCACCCGTGTCACCCTCCCAGCCTCTCCCTCTGTTCCATGTCTTTGGGTTTTGGGTTTTACTGGTGTTTTCTTTTTCTATTTTAAAATTGAGTTCAGAGAGGAAGGAAGAGGAAGAGATAGAAACATCAATGATGAGAGATAATCATGGATCGGCGGCCTCCTGCACGCCCCCCACTGGGGATCAAGCCTGCAACCTGGGCCTGTGCCCTGACTGGGAGTCGAACCGTGACCTGGATCATAGGTCAACGCTCAATCCCTGAGCCACGCTGCTGGCCGTTTGTTCATTTTTCTGGCCTCACGTCTGCCACTTGGCAGAACACCCTGCAGGTGGAGGGAGCTGCTGACGGCTGTGCAGCCAACACCCCACAGCTGTGGACTCTTCCGGCTCCTGTACCAACGCAGCCCTGCCCGGTCCCCTCAGCGTCCCTCTCCTTCCCCAGAACACGCACGCCCTCCTGGACATCCCGCTGGACAGCGTGCGCGCCCTGCACAGCATGGAGATCTTCCCCATCGTCCTCCACGTCGCCATCAACGAGAAGGCGGCCAAGAGACTCAGGTAGGTGTGTCTGGGGCTGACCATCCCGTCCCGTGTCCCGTCCCCCCCGCCCCCCCCGCAAGATCCTCGTGCCTCTGGGGCATGTGACGGGATTCCTGGAAGTGTCACAGGGTGGGTCCCCCACAACTCTGGGACAGAGGCTCCCTGTCCCCCTGGGAAGCCGCCCAGAGGACAGCGAGGACTTGGCTCCTACGCTGACTCACTAAGGCCCCGTCTGCTGGGGCCACAGGGACCGGCCTGCCCGGTGGCGAGGACCACCTGGAGGCCATGGCTTGTTCATGGCTGGGGACAAGCCCAGGTGTCCTGGGTCCTTTATAATTTCACACCTGAGGCTGTAAACTAGATGCCGCCCCCACCTGGCTGTGGTCTGGGGCCCTGTCTCTTCAGGACCCCGTGAAAGTGGCCGCTGCACCCAGGGGTGTTTGGTCCCCTGGGATCCCGAGCCCGGACAGCTCCAGGCATGGCCGGGGCAGCGCGCTGTCCCCCTGAGCCGCCTCTGGCCCCGCAGGAAGGCCCTGCAACGGCTGG